CCTCCTGGACAGCCTCCTCCTGGACAGCCTCCTCCTGGACAGCCTCCTCCTGGGCAGCCTCCTCCTGGACAGCCTCCTCCTGGACAGCCTCCTCCTGGACAGCCTCCTGGACAGCCTCCTGGACAGCCTCCTGGATAGCCTCCGGGTCCCACTCGGCCTCGGAGGCTGCCGGGGGGGCAGCAGAGACGGGCTCAGGGCCCCTCACAGACTGAGCCACCGCCTCTGAAAGTCTAACGGGAAAGGCTACAGCAGTCTTGTAGGCGAGCAGGGCGGCCCTCTCCTCTGGAGCCTCGGCTGCTGAAGAAACGGTAGATGGAACACAAGGAGGTCAGTAGCAAAGGTCACAGTCACCCCCCCCCCCCACAGAGGGCCGGGCCCAGACAGGAGGAGCACTGAGGTCTGCAGACAGAACCACAGCTGCCAGAGTTTCTTATCAGACTCAGATCCCTGCTCTCTCCGTCCCACCAGGGCCGCCTCCACTGTCCTTATCCAGGTTCTAGCTTTAGTAAAGCCATTTCTTATCCTTCTGTGAGGTCTGAGGATGTTAGATCCCAGCCAAAACAAACAATTGTCCACACTCTTCCAGAGAATTTAGCTTGTTAGTCCAACCTAGGCTGGTCCAGATCCGATATCTGGATCCGATCGGCTGCCGATATTAGCAAAAAACTGCATATCGGACAGCAGGAGAAAACCCAGATCCAGACTCCAGATCCCACACGAGCATTAGCATTAGCATCTTTAACCCACAGGTCTGTGTCCTAACCATTAAGTTGTTATCAGAGCATTAGCATTAGCATCTGTAACCACAGGTCTGTGTCCTAACCATTAAGTTGTTATCAGAGTAAATCCCTGTTCAACAGGAGTCTGACAATAAGGAAGTACATAAATAACTTTAGACTTTAGGACAGGCTCTGATAGGCCGGATCGCATTGGAGGAGCAGAGAGCTGGATGGGAACATCCCTAACCAACCAGCCGGGAGCGATGTGGAGAAGCTGGAGCTCAGCTGGTTGAGCTCAGAGAGAGCAGGAGCGCAGGGAAACAGTCCAGCAGCTCACTGAGGGACAGAGCTGAGGGCCGGAGGCTTTGAGAACCACTGTCTGACAGGCAGATCTCCAGCACGTAGGTCAGCCCCGAGTACTGTAAATGACATTTACCTGGGAACCATCTCCTTCTCCCTCCTGTTCACTAAAAGGGGGCCAAGTGGGTTAAATGTGCTGGTTTGAATAGACAGAAGGACGGAACAGGTGAAATACAATGCTGTTATTTATTTTATTCTATCTTAATATTTTGTTGTATCTAAGGATTAATGTATCTCTCACACTTTACTTTAAAACTGCTTGGTGGACATTTATTTTAATTTATTTTTTGCTTTTTCATGTAGGTCTATCTTCCCCAGTTTGCTCAAAGCTGTTAGACACAATTTACTTAACTTTGCATATTACACAAAAAATAAAAGTAACCACCACTGTATTGTAATGCTCTGAATAAATAAAAATGTTAAAAAATATATTTGTTGGCTTATTGTGGGGAAGCAGAGAAGCTCTGATTGGGTTCAGATGAACAAAGTCCAACATAAACTAAAAGAGCCTTAAGACCATGAACATATTTACAACAAATAACACGATGATCTCTGAGCAGGCTTTTGAACATTCATGTTTTAAAGCACCAAAACAGAACCAAGGTTTCTCCTGCCAGATTCCATCTATGGTCTCTGAGGGTTGGACGTGAAGGCCTCTCTCATCTGTGAATGATGAGGGGCCCTTTAGGGAGGTACTGTCTCCTGATCCTCTGCTCTGAGGGGCTGGTTGGCCTCAGTTTTACAGCTAGCTGCATGAGTGGAATTCCATCAGGATTCCCGTTTGAAAAACTCATGACCGGGTTCAGATCTGGTTTGAAATGTTCAGATCAAAATTGAACATCCAATCCAACATTTTCTAAACAAATCCAGGTTTTTTCATCATGAATTACTGTGATTCCTATATAATAATAATTCATGTTAACTGCTTTATTCCACCCAGTCTGAAGAAGAGATTCGGTCCAGATTAAACAACCAGAGTTAAATTGGGGGAAAACCCCACCTGCTTTCGTTTTAGGCCTCTAGTCCCCTCTGTCTCACACACAGCGACCCAGCTAAATATTCTGGTTCTCTCCTCAAACAGGATGACTGCCTCACTTTTTCCTGCAGCTTTTGTCTTCTTCACTGGTTTGGTGGGCTCCTCAGCTCCAGTGCAGAACCACACAGCTGGCCGGTTGCCCGGGAGACCCCATCTGTCCAGCTGTGGAGACAACATCTGGATCAGCACAGGGCTGGGGGGCTGTCCTCAATGGTCATCAAACCTAGGACAGACTTTTCACGCTCCTTAACACTGTACGTGGTCTGTATCTGTGCTTTTCCCGTTTTTAATGGAAATATAGACAGAAACGGGGGCTACGTCCTCACTTCCACACAGAGTTTACACCGTAACTCCGTCCTCCAGGGCCGCCATCCCGCAGGTTCAGAGCCTTTCCTGCCTCACACCTCATTCTGATTAATTGGATCAGTTCAGAGGATCTGCACAATCCTGATTAGGACACCTTGACCGGATTCAGGCGTGTTGAAGCCGAGAAG